CCCAGTGATCCCAGTGATCCCAGTGATCCCAGTGAGCCCAGTGATCCCAGTGAGCCCAGTGATCCCAGTGATCCCAGTGATCCCAGTGAGCCCAGTGATCCCAGTGAGCCCAGTGATCCCAGTGATCCCAGTGATCCCAGTGAGCCCAGTGATCCCAGTGATCCCAGTGAGCCCAGTGATCCCAGTGATCCCAGTGATCCCAGTGAGCCCAGTGATCCCAGTGATCCCAGTGAGCCCAGTGAGCCCAGTGATCCCAGTAATTCCAGCTATCCAAATGATCCCAGCAATCCCAGTGATCCCAGTAATTCCAGCAATCCCAGTGATCCCAGTGATCCCAGCAATCCCAGCAATCCCAGTGATCCCAGTAATCCCAGTGATCCCAGTAATCCCAGTGATCCCAGTGATCCCAGTGTGCAGACGGGAATCATCAGCTGTGTGTCCTAGAACCAGCTGAGTTCCTCTTTAAGGTCGGTGGTAGATCTTCGTCGCTCCTCCTCTTCATCCTTTCAGGAAGCAAAGCTTTCTGGGAATCTTCAGCAGGTCGCTTCAGGAAACGCGTCTCAAAGGAAATCTTTTATTTTTCTTCTTCTTGTTTTTCTTGATTCCAACTCCAAACATTTCAGGCTGTGACCCAGAAATCAAAATCCATCCCAGTCAATAAAAATAGACAGAATTTATTTCACTCTGGGTTTATTTCTATAAATAAACTTTCTATCCTGCTTAACGTTCAAATCGAACTGATTGTTTTTACAGTGAAGCGTTAAATGGATCCTAAGAAGCAGAGATTCTGCTGGAATCCATCAGTTCCGCTCTAAGCCTGAAGGTGGCAGTATTTACGCTGAAAGATGATAAATCCTTAACATCAATATTCTAGAACTAAAGAGGCCTGGATTATGCTCCTCCGCCACGTCCTAAATCAGGTCAGAACGACAGAATTTAAACACGGAGAACCTAGAAATATTTGCTCCTATTCAGACAGATCCATGTGGAAAACATAACAAATGTTGATCTATCTGTTGAATGTCTATAAAATGTAGAAACATTAATAAATATGAGTGTAATTTTACCTGCAGAGATTAACCTGGATCTGCATGTTGATTGATCTGATCAGTATAGATCTACAAATAGATGATGTCTGCCCACCCACAGTGCACTTTGACCCCTAACTGACCCCCCCCCATCAGCATCAAGCTTTCATGTTCAGCCACTCAGGTGTATCAGTAATGCAGAGCCGCCTCCTCCATCGTCTCTCCTCCCACTGACAGGAGGTAACCATGACAACCGCCTCCTGGCCTGTCAGAGGAGCCTGCAGAGCGAGCAGCAAATCTGATGAGATTGATTTCAGCCTCTGGTCCCAAAATAAACAAAGAAACCGACTGAAGACCCGAAAAAAACACCAATATCTCATCCAGAACGTCCTCACTAGAACTAGGAAACTAGATCACATCAGCTCAGTTCTACAGTCCTTCCTCGTATCTCAGGCTTTAAAATCCTTCTGTTAGTCTAGAAATCACTGAATAGATCAGTTCTAGAATCCATTACAGACTGCTTGGCAGGCGATCGACAGCCAGACCTCTCAGCTCTACTGGATCAGAACCAAACATAGAGAAGCAGCTTCTAGTTCTTCAGCTCCACTGATCTGGAATAAACTGGAAAAGTTGCTTTAAATCCAGATTAAAGTTTATTCTGACT